TATCAAATCTCTTCCGTTTGCGCGTCACATTTTCCATGCTCGTAAAACGACCGCGCGGAAGAGGAGAGAAAAAGGCGCGGAGGAACGCTGGCCGGAGAGAAATCGAACGTTGGAAAGGAGGAGGAGGGAAGGAAGCAGGGAATGAAGTTGAAACACCGGAGTGATAGCCAAATCGAGAAACACGGACACGCTCGTTTTACACGGATCTCGAGCCTCCTACGGCGCGCGTGTGTCTTTTACTACACAGATTTGCGGTGTTAAATCCGCGACCGCCTTGTTTAGTCACCGCGTTCCGTTCGATTCTCCCGATCATAAAACGATCTACAGCGTTCCTTCCTTTATCTTGAATTATTCTCGAAACCTGAAGAAGAATTCCTCCACCTGGAAATCAGAGGAGAAAAGGAAAACTCGTATCGGAGGAGGAAAATTCAAACGATTGAGATACGAAAAAATTGGGGTCTGGATTAGAAAAGACGGAGAGAAGGCTGAAATGAAAAAGGGAAAGAAGCGGAGAAAGGGAGAGCACGGGAAGAAAGAGAGAGGGAGATAGGTGGGTAGTGGCGAAAGAAAAAGAGAGGGAGAATGGTCGCGTGGCCGTGCGTGGCCCCAAATAGGGCATCAGGTGGTTGCACGACGCCCGCGAGAAAAAGATCGTTTGCGCGTGCGCAGAGGCGCGTGTGCCTCTGGTAACCGGGCGCACGCACGCATGTACGCGCGTACCAGAATGGCACGCGCGCGCTCTTACAGGTGGTCGCGAGCGGGCGCACACAGGAAATTGCTCCTTCGCCGTTGAAACCGTCGGCCCCCGGAACTTTGCGCGGCCGCACCGTTCACCCGGATTAAATTCTGCCTCGCAACGATATCGGCCCGTTCTCAAACGGACTCGACACGTGCGCGCACACCCTTGCATCCACAATAATCTCTCTCTCTCTCTTTCTCTATCTCTCACCTGTTGCACGTCTGTTTCCCGAATCGCTTCGTTTACCCTCTACGTTCCAATTCTAATCTAAAATAGACGGTAACTCGCGAGGGCATTGAAATTTCGAAAGGATGTACAGCGTTCGTACGATTCGTCGGCTGGCACGAATTTGGTTCGCTATTCCGAAAAGATTTCTCCTAGAAACAGATTGCAATTTGAATACACGATTTTGCTGTTAATTAGGAGCAAGTGGTTAGGTTCGACGATACGTCAGACAATTATACAGTAGCAATTAATTACCAATTATGGTACATGGACCAACACGCGTTAGCACGTGGATTTATTTTGCAACGACGTAGAGTGTAGAATTATCGTGGAGTTAGAAAATAATCTTTGGGAAGCTCCATCCCCGTGCGGACGCACTTGGATCGATAAACGTTTGGCGAGAAGGGACACCAAGCGGTAGCCTCAAGCTCTCGAACGTTAAACCGACGCCTGTCACCCATACAGAGAACGAAAGAGAGGCGTCGATACGCCGGCGCCGTTCGCGTCACCAGCCACGAGCTTACGCAGGCAGAGGAACGAGGGGTGGTGGACCTGTATTCGCTAGATTATCCGCTAGAGATCGGAATAGTTGACGACAAACTTTCCCTTAACCTCAAACGATACAGCTCCTCCTTTGAAAACAAACGAACTATCTGTAACATTTCACTAATATTCCACCTGTCAAACATTCCAATATCGTTCCAAATTGAAAACGTTCAATTCAAAAACCAACGAAACTAGACAAATTTAAAAAACACCTAAAAAACAAAATCTCTTCCTCTTTTCGTCCCCTAAAAAGCGCGCATTCAAACGGTCGGTCGCGCGCGCTGCGTCTACGTCACGCGTGTCTACGTCACTGGAGAACCGAGCGGCGGCGGTGGTGGGGATAGGCGGCAGAGAGGGAGGGGCGCGAGGAGAAGGTAGGAACGCGTGAAGGGCGACGGGGTGGGGGTAGAGATGCCTGCGAGCAGTGGCTCGCAGTGACGACGTGGTGACCGTGTGGTGGGGATAGCGGCGCGTGTGTACGTCGGCACACACGTTCACCGATGTATACGCGTGGCACACACAGGCGCGCGTTGATAGGGGACCGCAGAGCGGGGATTGGCTGGCGGTCGACTCGCCGCTTCCAAATATGGGACAGTCTCCGCGGTCCATTCATAAAACTACGGGGCGCGCCGTCGCTCGGCTCAGTTCGTGCGCGACCCCCACGCATCGCGCGTCCTCCGACAATCCCAGCGCGCGATCTGCTGCTGCCTCGGATTCTCACACACGCACACGCAAAACCCGCGCAGAGGTACCGCATACCTACCTCTACACACAAGTGGCGCACACGACGAACCGCGAACCGGAGAGCGAGAGACAGAAAGAGAGATAGAGAGAGAGATATACGGAGATATATATATATATATATAGAGAGAGAGAGAGAGGGAGGAAAAGAGAGACAGAGAAAGAAGTTGGTGTAGGAGGAGGTGGACGAAGTGGCGGAGGTGGCGTTGAAGAGAAAGAAAGGGACAGAGGACACACGGAACGACAAATAGGCGCGCGGTCGCGCGCTCTTCTCTACATCCACGCGACGATACACTCTCTCGCGAGAGATCGTCGTCGCGTAACAACAAGATTCTCTCAGGTGGTGGTGAAGGAAGAAGCAGCGAGATCGTTCGATAAATATTCTCGAAGGCCACATCGTGCTTTCATCCCTTCGCGCCGCGATAGTCTCGCGCGCGTCCTACGTTCGTCCGTGGCGCGTGCGCGCGAGGCAAACGAACAGTAGAGGCAATCACACACAGTGTCCCTGCTGTGGTCAGACCGGCCGGCGGCCGTTCCGGATCGGGAAGATTACGACTGAACACGACGATTCAAAGAGAGAGAGAGATTTTTAGTTATATAGATACTCGGTGAGATTGGATATTCTTCGAGTATCCACGCATATACATAGACTTACATACACACACAGATAGAGACACTACTTACATAGAGAGAGAGAGAGAGAGAGAGAGAGAGAGAGAGAGAGAGAGAGAGAGAGAGAGAGACGTACATAGATCGTTAGGTGGTGGTTGTGGTGGTGGTGGTGGTATATAATATAATAGTGTGCTTTTGTGGTTGGTGGTGGTTGTGTGCGCGCGCGGTGGTGTATTAAAAGAGAGGGATCTAGAAGGGAGAAGAGAGAGGGAAAGAAAAGGAAGGACGGAGAGGCACGGCGATCGAGACACGGTTTTTGCCGCCCGGCGTCCGCTCCCTCGTTTATGTGGATACACCTCGCTGAGAACGAGGAGAGACTCGGCGCGTGCCGCCGCGCGACGGATAAAAAAGGGGGAGCGCGTGCTACGTCCGCTTGACTACTAACCCAGTGACTCGAGCCTGTACGTATTACACTTTGGACGAGAGGGAAGGAGGGAGACAACTCTGATAACAACAGACCGATCTCTCTTTTACCTTTTGACACCGACTCTCGTTCCGTAACCACGCGTCGTCCTTTCTCGCAACCCCTATTCGAGAGAGAGAGAGAGAGAGAGAGAGAGAGAGATCAGAAACGCGGGGGGAAGGAAACGATCAAGATTGAACAATTCCACGTAAAAATAAGAAAGAACCCCTCTCGCGCGTGTGTAGAGCTTTAGAAAGCGGGAGAGAGAAAGAGGCTTAACTGTGTGACGGGGAGAGACCGAGGAAGGACATCATTTTAACCATAATAATAGCGTTGAACGATACAACCGCAGGCGAGGACACGCAGTGCGGTACAAGCGAGGAGGTAGCCGCTGCTAACCAAGGAGGCGATCAGCTCCAGAGGATGACGATGGACGGCATGGAAGTGGTGGGCTCGCAGCCCCACGCGGCCACCAGCCCGTTTCTTCTCTCACCACCACCCCTTGGACATCATCATCACCATCATCCCCATGCAACCTTCAATCTACAAACGGTGCAGCTCAGTTTCGACGCGTGTCTACCGTACAACGCGGCGACATCATCCAATTCGATCGTCTGCGGCGTCGGTGGTACGTCGACGCCGGCCGCTACCACCTGCACCGCATCCACGAGTTGCAACAACAAGGCGATACCGACACTCTCGTTGGCCACTTGCGCGCCGTTGCAAGCCCAACATCAGAACAGCAACGATTCCACCGATCATCATGTCAGGCAGCAGCAACAGCAGCAGCAACAACAACAGCAGCAACAGCAACATCAACAACATCATCATCATCATCACCATCATCATCAAAGATTGGACGACCATCAACACCACCGGCACGTCGAAGCTTCTTCGCCGGCCAGTGACTCTACCGATGGAAAGAGGCGTCTACAGGCTGGTAACGAGGAGAAGGACTGCTCGAGGGAGTGCAGGGACGATCTCCAGGAGCCAAACGAGAAGGATAAACCAGGTGACCTAAACACGCCGGTTACCACCAGCAGCGATTTACCGTCCTTCTTCGGCCCCTCCGCGCTCGTCGAGCCACCTCCTATTTCAGGTACCTACAAATCAACAGTCCTTTAACAAATTGCTCATCGACGATCGAAAAAAAATGAAAAAACATCTCTTCTTTGTCCTATTACGATAATCGTCGAATCGTTTTGGAATCATCTTTCGTACCATACAGATCCTGTCAGATATACTTATATTACACGTCTCGACGAGAATACACTCCTCCGTCCTCCCCACGCCCACCTCAAAAAGAAACAAAATCTTCTTCGCTATTCCACGTTTTTTTTTTTCTTTCTTTTCTTACGCGAGCAATATAATATACCCACAGAGGCGGCAGATTCTACTACAACAGACTTTGATCGAAACTCCTTCGATATGACCTTGCACTTGCTGCGTTTCACGAACGCGTCTCGAACTTTCGCTTTCTGCATATCCGCCAAGCTCCTGCTGCTGCTGCTACCCTCGTGGCTGCGTCGAGCACCCCTTTCGAAAATCCGCCCTCCAGAGCGACGGATGATCGAAAGGTGGATCGTCCAAGTGCATGAGGTTTGCCGTTGTAGGGTGACGTATGTACCCGGTTGGCTCGCGAAAGGCGGCTAATATCGAACCTGTGCTCGCACTAGCCGCGGATCAATACTCGGAGCGACCCCGACATTCAGAAACCCTCCTCCGCGTCCCTGCATCACCTCCGCCTCCGCCTCCGCCTCCAACCTCCCACCACCCCTTGCCAGTTCATTCATACTTCCAACAGAGTCCAGCCCCCACCTCGTTCATCCGGACCGATACAACCACCCTTCGTGTCACGCCGGTAGTGTCGTCTCTTCCGCGACTTTCTCGGCCAGCCGATCTAAACGCGTGTTCTTCTCCTCTCCTCATCATCGTCCACGTTTTACTATCCAACCCCTTTCGTCCCTTTCTCCATTCGTTTCCTTCCGTTTCACGCGAAATCTCCTTCCGAGAATTCCTCGCGTACATACATATTTACTCGCTTGTTTGGACTCGATGATACGGAACAGATGGTTGTAATGCCCCAACGATGGCCGCCACGCGTTTCACTCACTTCTGGGAGCCGGTGGACTTGTTTTTCGGTAGGAAGTAACGAGATATTGTATACGCGGAAAGGAAGTAACGGAACAGGGCAGGATGCAGACGACAGATAGAGAGCCAGTTAAGGTGCCCTCGACGCACATGAGATAAACCTCGTATCCCCGTATCAACGCGGTCCTTCCTGTCGATTCGATGCACGCGTTCGTACACTTGCTCGAGTTCAAAGCCTGTCTCTATTATAGATAGAAAAGATTCTCAGACTGATCGAGACCGTTGATGGATGATTTGTAGGCAGCCTGGCAGGTGAGGACCTATCCCTGGAAGAGGCGACAGCAGAGGACGATGAAACGGCCACCTCAACCAGGGATCACCGGCACCATCATCACCAGGATTCACAGGACACGACGCCTGGCGCTCCTCCATCCACTAGTCCGCCGCGTCATCATCAAACCCAAGAGGACGCTGATCGTTGCAACGTTCTGCAAGGCGGAGTGATCCTCTACTCTCCCCATTCGACGTCCTCGGTGTCTTCTGTACCAGCCTCCAGTGTGAACATCTGCAACGTTCCAACGTTAACGTATCGCGGTGTATTCACCACCACCTGTACCCAATCCTCACCTCTGAACACCCTCCAGAATCAACAGCAACAACCTCAGCAGCAGCAGCAACAGCAACAACAGTCGGCTAACCAAGAACTCTGGGGTCCGTTAGCCTCTCCAACCCTGACCTTGACAGGTCAACCGTTCCTCCACCCCAGTCTACACTCAGCCCCGTACGGCGGCGAGACCGTCGAACTTCTGCCCGTCGAATCGAAGCCACCCCCGCCACCAGGTTACCATGACACGCCGACTACCACCCCGGCAACGTGGCTGACTGCGCACGAGGACCCTTACGACCCGAATCTCCTGTCCCATCATCACCCACATCACCATCATCAAGAGACCACGTTGAAACAGGAACCTACAGGGACAAGTGGCTATGGACCGACGGTTCAACAACAGCAGCAGCAACAACAACAACAACCACAACCCAGCCAACAGCAGCAGCAGCAACAACAACAACAACAACAACAACAACAACCACCGTCGGCAGGTACAACTGGTGTACAGCTAGCTGAATACAATCCAAGCACGTCTAAGGGACATGAAATCCTGTCGCAAGTTTACCAGCAGAGCGCTCTACCGCTCAGGCTGGTCCCGGTGAAGCCACGGAAATACCCGAATCGACCGAGTAAAACGCCTGTTCACGAACGACCGTACGCTTGCCCCGTAGACGGCTGCGACCGCAGGTTCTCGCGTAGCGACGAGCTCACGCGACACATTCGCATCCATACCGGCCAGAAACCGTTCCAGTGTCGCATCTGTATGCGCTCGTTCTCCAGGAGCGATCATCTAACCACCCATGTGAGGACGCACACCGGCGAGAAGCCGTTCTGTTGCGATCAGTGCGGCAGGAAATTTGCGAGAAGCGACGAGAAGAAGAGACACGCGAAGGTACATCTGAAGCAGAGGTTGAAGCGAGAAGCGACGCACGCCTCGGCGAGGAATCATCCACAGAGTCATGCTTCTCCGCCCTGCAATCAGTAGAAAAGTGAGAGGTTGTTCTAGAAATTTGCAGTGTTCGCGAAAGAGAGAAAAAAGAAGAGAAAAGAAATGCATACGGCGATTCACGCGTGGATCGTGTGTAAAACAGCGTCGATTTCCACGCGCATTCCTTCGACCTTGCCAATCATGCTAGCACACCGTCGCAGATTTGAAGCATCGTCAGGCGACGGGCAAACGACGGAGACCTTTAGGCGGAACTGAAACACACACAGACTGCCGTCACCGACTGATCCGTCATCGATCGTCGCCTTTTGGCACGCTAAACGGACAATGAGTGCGGCTTGATGACCATGGGCGAAAAAGATGGCATTTCACGATGGTGGAACGACGCGTGATATGGTCCGAAGTATGTCGGACAAGTAGTACGTAAGGAACTAATCGCGTAGGATTCTCGCGAAATCCTCTGTAAATAGGTGAAAAAAAAAAGAAAACAAATATGTTGACTTTTTTTCAATCGGCAATTCCGGGTGTCGTTTGTCCGACGATCTCTTTCTCACGATCCTCTGTTCTGCCCTCGTCAAAGGGGACGATCGTACAACGTGACCGAAATTCAATCTAACAAATTTTTATTCCGTATACATATTCGATATTATTGTACCGGCACCTGCTGTCTCGCCACACCCTGTACACTTCGAGCTCTCTTTTTCAAGCTTTTTTTCGCTTCATCGAGAGTCTGTTTTGCCCGCGGTGAGACGAGATGAAGACAGTCTCTGTGCTGTAGTCGTTGCATTTAGCTCGCAGGAGAATGAGCACGAGCGAAAATTCTAGCTCTGCAGAGGGTACTGTTAGGTTGTTTCCTCGAACGAACGAAACGGTTAGTATCAGTCCTCGTACCTTTTTACCGGCAAACGTAAGACAGAGAGAGAGAGAGAGAGAGAGTGAGAGAGAGAGAGAGAGAGAGACGTGGAGAATATTGGATGCGAGCGACGCGCCGCCGTTCAGAGGAGATCGCGTTATTTACGAGCGTTCACGTTTTATGCCCTTGTTTGCGATCGGGAACGAGATGCAGATGTGAAAATCGGCGTTAACCGCGCGTAGATACGCGTACATCGAAATATTTCACGGTGTCGCGAAATATACTGCAACCATGTTCCACGAACGCGAACCACCAGTAGAATCGATACCGCCCGCAGCTTCCGGGAATCAAGGAGGAATTTGCCGAACGAGAGAGAGAGAGAGAGAGAGAGAGCGAAGAGACGCGTCGTCTCTCGATCGCATGCAAACGGCCGCGTAAAATAAAAATGCTCGTACTCGCGCCCCGCTTCTTGAAACGATCAAAGTGCAAACTATGCCTCTACTTCGTGATTGAGAAACCGACCGAATGGTTATTCGACCTTCTTCTTTTTTGTTTTATTATGTGGGAAAATAGTGCAATCTCGATATCGCCGTTCGATTCTCTCTCTCTCCCCCCCCCCCCCTCTCTTTACGAGTCGACGGTCATCGACGAGTATTTTCTATAAATATTTTTATAAAAAATTACACAGCACTCGACGATGCTCAAAAAAAAAAAATCAAACGAAAGAAAGTGTTCGATATGTCGCAATCGATATCGCTGGCCGACGAGAGAGAAAGAGAAGTTATACACGGTGAAGTCGTTTCAAAAAGCTCTAATAGAAGTCGGACGATCGACGGATACGTATACATACACACTATTTTGCGTCCTCGAACCTCGTGTCTTTCAAATCATACAATCGATTAATCGCTTCTTATCATCCTCTACCTCTCGCAACACATTATTCACTCGTTCCTACAGCCACGTTTCGTGCTCCGGACACGCTAAATCTCGGACATTTCTTCTTCCCTCCTCCTCTTGCCACCCTGTCACTTTATTAATTCCCTCCTTCACGCTGAGTCCACCACTCTCGTAGCTTTCCTTTCTCAGCTTCTCGAATCAAACTTAATCCCATAGAACGTTCCCGATTAAGTAACCTCGATCAACCAACCCCTCTTTTCATCACCGCCAGCAAACCCCACGCGTTAAAGTTAAATTGTAATTAGCCGCGTATATCATCGTTGTTGAACCGGGAGTCTTTCCTTTGTAAATATGTATATAACGTGTTATACATATGTACACATAGGTTTACGTTTAATCGAACGTGCAGAGAGACAGAGAGTGAGAGAGAAAGAGTGAGAGAGTGAGAGTGAGAGAGAAAGGAAGAGAGAACCCCGTAAAATCTTTCACTTTCCTCCTTTTAATCTTGCCGCCCTACTTTCCCTCCTCTCCTCTCGTCCTACCCCTTCCTCCTCCTCTCCATTGCGAGTCGTTTTACCTGTATAAATATGAGTTTAGCGACGATTAATATTATGTATATGTTTCTCTATTTATTAACAAGAAAAAAAAACATCTCTATATATATACATGCATACATATATGTGTAAACGTATGTATATGTGTATATGAAAAGAGGCGTTAGCTTAAAACGGATCCAAGCGTTCTCTTGTGCGCTCTGTACCTACCGACGATGGTTGCACCGACGCGTGTGTGCGATATTATCCGCTATTGTTCTAGATAGGTCGGAAAATATGTAGGCAGAGGAGCGTGTGTATACGCGCGCACGCGCGTCCCCCTGGAATAAAAACACACAGAGAGAGAGATTACGCGTATATGTGTGAGTATGTGTGTGAGTGCGTGTGTATGTATGAATGTGCGGGAGAGTACGAGCGAGAGAAAAAAAGAAACAATTGAGAGAAACGAAGAGATGAGAAGAGAGAGAGAGAAAAAAGGAATATAGAAAGGACACTTTTTTTACGAACGATATTACGCTATAGTTGGATGATACATTCTGTGTATAACTATTATACATACGGTGCTCCGAGTGCAATGCACGAGAAGAAGAATCTCTCGACTACCTGTATATTTGTGTTGTAATCATCGTTGCCGTTTAATCTGGCCGGTTCCCTACGACGATTATTAACAAAAATACAAAGTTAACATTGAACAACCATGTCTTGTTCTTTCTTACACTCTATACATATACATATGTTACAATTAGATTAGAAACATCTCGAATGTTACGTACCGTTAAAGTTTCCCTCCGTCCTACCGGCTTCATAACCTTTAAAACGCGGACACTCGGAGTTTAAAGCCGAAAGCTCGTTTCATTTTCGACGTTCCAAGCTTCTCAATACGGTTCACTGAAAGCTATCGGCGTACGCGATCTGAAAGGTATAACCTATAAATCGTTCGAAATGCATATTTATAATATGTTCACGATCATAATGGTGTGCAATAGTGTCGTTTGTCACGTCGAACGATTTCTCGAGTGTCATTACTCCGCCATTATTCTTTTTTTTCTCCCCCCTCCCCGCACGTTTTACACGTTCAGCGTCAGACACATTCATCGACCGCAGACATCTTTATCGATCATCGACAATTACCGAATAGGGCATCGACGATCAAGGATGTCGATACAGCGAACCGCATCCTACGCGACCGAACTATTGTTCCACGGGTGGTGTGTGTTTAAAAGGCAGCCACCGAGATTAATAAGGACCGGTCCGTTGCACGAGAGTCGCCACTCTCGATGCAACACGGTCTCCCCGTTGTGCCGCCGTTTTCTATGCAACCTTTCACCGTAAACACGCGGTTGGCGCCTAAACGCAACGCCAAACGGACTTTCCGACCGTCGCTTATCGCGATTTTTCCCCCCTGTCCGCGATACGAATCGCGAACAACCGTCAATTAGTATCGGTCGCGCGTGCCGGTTTTTTCGTTCCTTGAGGCCCCCGACCAAGTCAAACGCTCCCCCCTCGCTTATTGCCAACGGAGTTCTTTATCGGTCGGCCATTAATCGAAACCAATTTAGCTTTATTCGATTCGCCGCTGAATTTCATCTAACGACCAACCGCCACGAAAAAGCTTACTACGAAGAATGCCACCTTTCCAACGTGATAATGCTCGAAAGTGAAACTAATCGATACGTACATACATCAACGATGTATCGATTCTTCTCGTCTGCTAGTCCTACAACATGGCGACTAGGTAAAAATTTCTGAATTTAGAATAAAACAGAAATTGTTTCGAGGTTAGGTAAATCGTTGGGATAAAAAGTTTGTCTCGCTGGTTGCCCCGGGCAACGGATACTTCTCCAAAAAAGGTCATCGTCCATATGATTCAGCGTAGAAGACATGAGAAACGACACGTTGATTCGAGCTACCGGTTACGACGAAACGATCGTTTCCGTAATCGACTAATTAACGGAAAACGACGGTCCACTCGGGCGCGGAACCATAGGTTTCTCCGTCTATCTACCGGAGGCAGGCAGCGCAGCGTCTCGACGCTTGAGACGAGGGTCCACGTCATCGATTCTTCGCGCTCGGACGAACAGTTTTGGCCGGCTCGCTGGCTCTCGCGTGTGGGGAACGTGCAATGGCCACTACATAGGTGTGTATGCACACCTATATAGGAGAGACAGTGCAAGAAGTGGGCAGGAGTGAGGCTGTGAGAGCACGTCTATAAATAGGACCAAGATCGAGATGAGGCCTCCTCTGCACTTCGTGATACCTTCTCTCCTTTTCTCTCTAACATTCACTGTCCTACTCTCTTCCACTCTTCCTCTTCCATGCGTTCTTTTTCTTAGCCCACCTCTATCCTTGTCTCACCGTGTCTTCAGTTCTACGTCCATCTCATTTTCCTCATTCGCCGTCCCTTTTTCGCTCCTTTGTTTTGCTCTCTTTACCGATGCTTCCGTCCTCGTCCGGTAGAGCTGTTTCCCGCTTTCTCTTTCGGTCCTTCCTTCTCTCCCTCTCTCTCTTACCGTCCACCGACAGATCGTCGATTCTCTTTCTTCGTCGCGTCTCTGTCTCTCACTCCGCGTCCCTAATCTCTTCTCTCCTTCTTCGTCTTCTCTCCCTCTCGTGGATATCCCTCCCACTAACGACTGACAAGCACGACGACGCGGGCTCCTCTCACGACACATAAGGATCGCGTATACGCTGGCGCGCGTGCAACCGAGCAAAAAAATGTCGTAAAATATAGTTCCTCCGTGGATATGCAAGCTCCGGGCCAGGCCCTCGAAGAAGAAAAATGCACGTTGGGTCGCGCGACCGGCCGCTCTTCGAACATCGAATGATGGGATGAGTCAGGTAACGTCGGTGAGCCGTAGGTGTTGCTGAAATTTGATTCCCCGCCGCGTCGCTGTAGCGACGCGACTTCCGATCATGCGCGCGCTTCATCCCTCTTACCACTCGCCGCGGCAACTTCCGACTTCCTACTTTTATCAAACAAATTTCTACTTTTTTTTCTCACATTCCACTTATACACGCCGATCAGTATTCCACTATTTCTTTAACGAAACGTCAATGTACTGTTTTTATTTTCATCTAATAGCCGACGGTACGCAGCTACGTTCAGGATTTCACTCGATCGATCTTAACCTGAAAAATCGATTAATATCGTAATGACAAAGATGGCGTCTCGGCGTGACGTAGTAGACATTTGGCGGGACGTGATATGCAACAACAGTGAATGTATATTAAGGTTGAGAAAAGTGAAACGGTAAATTGGATTAGAAATAGTGGATTATACATTGGTAGGTGAAATATTTTCGTGTGAACGATATTCGTCTTGGTTTTTAGGTTAAACAAGTGGAACTAGGAAAACTAGAAAACACGGAAACGACGTAGGACGGAAAAGTTTTGCAGGAAACGAAGTTCTTCGGTCAGCATCGAGGAAAGAGAACGAAGGAACGCGATCACCGAGAAAGTCAGCGCATTTATCTGGTTTTTTTCGAATTTCCAGGCCAGTGTTCAGGTTCCCTCCCGGACGAGTGGCGCATCGACGCGGCAAAACGAGCATTCCGCTTTCATTCGCGCCGCGCAGCGATACCCGGTGTGTCGCATCGATCTTATAAACCAGCATCAAGCGGAGAGCAGCCGAATGAACCGAGCCGAGCCAGCCAGCCAGCCGGCCGGCCAGCCAGCCAGCCACACCCCGACGCGATTAAACCTGTTGCTGCTTTGCTCGTGGCTCGACTCCATAGACACGTACACGTAGGTGTCTGGCCTGAGAGTATATGCGGGGATCACTCGGAAACTTTTCTGACTCGGCTACGGATGCCAGAGAAGACGCGTCGCTATCTCTTACGAGCTTCCGGTGAACAGATTCCGCGGAATGATCGTATGGATATGAAAAGGGTTGGAGATCGATGAAGAAGAGGAGAAGAAAGATGTTTCGTTGAGATGAACGATCGATTATAATACCGATACACGAAGTTATCAAATTCTTCTGCTGCTACCCTTTCTTTTGAAAACGTAATAAAGCATTTTACTTCTCGCTATTTTGTTACAATCGATATACCATGTAACATATATTATAGACAAAATTTGATCCTTACATTTTAAGACTCTAGTAACTTATATTTAGAGTGTAAAGTTCAAAGTGGAGTCTGTAATTTCTTTGCTACTTTATTTCAATTCTATATTCTCATCTGAATAATCGTTTGATTGAAAGGTAAAGTCTCCAGTTCGACCTGTACTAGAAGGTTAATGAATGAGGAAAGTGAAAAAAAAAAAGAAGAAGCTGTACAGACGTCTACGTGTGTATCGTGTGTCCTCAAGAGAGGCGTGATTTTAAAAAGCTCAAGAAGGTACAGCCCCTTTTCGCGCTGCGCCACCGCCAACCCACCCCCAATCTTGCCGCTTACCTTTAACTTACGCTTTTTGCCACTCTTACGTTATCCAGCAAAATCGATGCAGGAACGGTATATAACGAGCCGGCTAGGTCTTGAATTTCGCGTCTCCGGTAACGCTGTGACGCAATTCGGTAAGCCGCGCGCGCGGGGATGAAGTGACCTGGCTAGGTGGGCTGCCGTTCGAATGATGAAAATTAGGTGGTAGCTTTCCTGTAATAGGAGCGATATAATCGAACCGTTTAATTCCATATACCACGTATTTAGAAATCGAGCAGAGTTGCTCGTTTAAAATAAGCCAACTTAAACTATCCTTTATGATCAAATCTCAAACGAACATACTTCTCGCTGTATATTAAAAACGTCTATATTCGTCGAGTAACATTTTTACCACCGTCGTATTTCACGTTACAGCCTGTGAAACGAGGACATCGCGGCGATCCCGCCGGTATATATTCATGGAGAGCAAAAGCATGGAAAACACAGAGGAAAAGAACCGGAAAAGATCCTTGGATCGGGTCGCGCGTACGATCAACATCCAAAGAGAAGTCCTCGCTAGGGGTTAGGGTCACGTCAACGTAAAAGCAAGGTAGAGCACCGTGGAAGTGGCGTATGCAGTGCCTGGTTGGTGGTGGGGAAGGGGAGGAAAAGGTGGCGCGAGGGAGCGAGGAGGGTTCATTGAGGAACGGCACGTGCAGAGGATAGAGCGCGACCGCGAGGTGGAAGGAACAGTCACGGCAGGGGGTAGAAGCCGGGGAGCCAGAGGGGCAACAACAGGGTTGCCAGGCGACCGTCAGCCGGCGGGTTGCCCCTGGCGACTGATTGCGTCACTGCAGCGCCGTATGACGTCACGCGACGCCACTGCCCTTGACCGCTCGAGTCCGGGGAGAGCGTCCTGACGACCCTCTTCTCCCTCTTTCCTCCTCGCACCCTCTCCGCTGCCATCCTACCCCACCACAGTGACTCGCGGCTCTGACGCCGTCGTAATCCGGAGGGGTAAAGTTATCTGTGAACGAGCGAGCAAACATCTGCACCGTACGTATACGCGTCCGCAGGTTCGCCGCGTTTTCCACCCCTCGCGAGTCTCACCGGAGGGTTGCAAACACGCTACGAAAATAGTCGGTTCGTACGTTCGTACGTGGATATTTTAGGAATTACGTTTTTACCAGGCTTCTCTCTCTCTCTCTCTCTCTCTCTCTCTCTCTCTCTCTCTCCATTCGTACGGAGCGCGGCGAGCAAGGAGAGTACGATGATAATGAGATTAGCTATATAGAGATACGAACGTATAGCTGGTTGATGGAAGGAGAATCGTTACATTGTTTCGACGAGTTGGTTGCTTTTACTACTTTTAGGCTTAAGTGCATTAACGTCAATGGGATTCTTTCGATCCCTTCCATTCTTGCTTGTTCGATTTTTGATGTATGTAACACCTGCTAGGCGCGCGCGCGAGCGCGGAATACGTGAACCGAAGAAGTGTCCGTGTCAAGGGAGAGATTGAAAATTTATCGCGATTAGTCTTGTCGATTATTTATGTCCGATAAAATCGAAGCACTCGAATAGTTGTATCAGCGAACAATCAGTCGACTCAGTCTTCCCGTTTGCCGAACATTATGGCCCGTTTCACCGGCTCAATAAATAATATCGAGAAAAATGCGTCGCACCACGGTCCGACGTGTTACGAGTTAATACCGAATGCTTTACATTTCATTAAAATATTTTATGGCCCCGCAATGCTCCTATTGGGAGGGAACAGGATTGTGATTTCGTGGGCGGGAAAATGTGTACGCGCGTAACTTGTCGTTTCATGCGCACCGGTCAATGAGAGGCGAAAAAAAAACAGTGCAATTACTATCTGACTTTCTACCATTTACGTCACGAGTGCATCTCATGAAAGAAAACGAACGTGAATGCATGGTTAAGTCGATGCTCTTTAAACAATGTAAATAAATACAAATTTTTGTGGGACATTTGCGAGTATAAATACGGGACTTCTTTTTACTGTAAGCTTTATTAATGTCACGTGGACTCCATGATGATACGTGATCAGCAACTTTTGCAGAATTTATCACTTTGATATTGTAAAAGAGTGTCTGCTTAAAAAAAGCACGGTTAAAGGGAGTTTTGAACACCCTGCTGCATTTTGCACAGGCATTCATAACGTATCAGGTTATTTCTACATGTGTGGGCGTGTATGTATGTCTACCGAACCTAGCCAGCTGACATCTGTTCATTCACTTTGCTCATCCATTCATAAAATGCAGTAACGCGACGCGCATGCGTGCGCGCGCCTTCATTTCTCTCTACTTTTGCAATTTTATGCCTTACCGATGGTAGAAACAGTTGTTTCGATCATTGGAGAATTGCTTTCGTTCATTTTTTACCCATCAATTTTATCAGAATGCACATTTATCGGTGAAAAGTCGACTTTTTTCGATTAATCTTCATCGAGAAGTTCATTCATACACCAATAGATAGCATAACTATACATTTCTAATATTGGTAATCGTAATATATAAAAAATATTTTTTTTTTTTATTAAATTCTATTCTAAAAAAAAATGAAGTTCGCGTTCAATTTTAATACTTATCTGCTCCCATAGTAAATTGTGTATAACTCAGACGATACTTTTTAATCAACATATGATTAAGAATCAGGACACTCTGAATTATCAGTGGTTGATAGAAAGTTTCCCTTTTACAAAAGTTAAAATAACAAACATTTATTTGCAATTAATATTGTGATTAATTTATGAAGTTTTTCACTTCTATTGATGCATCCAGATGCAAATTGTTACAATGTATTGAATATGAAAAACTGTGTTTATCGAATCCATCGTTGCAACAGATAGTAAACTTATAGGAGCTGTTTAAAATTCATTTTAAATAAACATATTTATAATATAATGTACAATCATCGAACATAATGAGAAAAATATTTGATATTATGCAAATAGAATTTGGTAACATATTTTTTTAATTATATCAGTTGTGCGTATATTCGAGTTTATCGCGTGTCGTTATGTGCTATTGCATCGATAAGTGGCGCATGAAATAGACACGTAGTCCGTTGTTATGTTAGTAAGGTTAAGTTTGTTAAGATGTTCGTAGTAATGTTTTTCACACGAACGTGAATACTGACATGCAAACGCAGAGAATGAAATTATTTGGTTTCATCTTCGTACTCGTTTTACTAAATATTAACATATCGAATGGCATTGGTGGAGGTTAGTACAGTTGTTAAGATAGGTTAAGGTTACATATAAATATACTATTTGATAACTATTTGCAATTTAACATTTGTTAGGACATTCGTTCACTTATAAAACGATCACATCCTTCGTCGATACAAGTATTGGTTCAGATGTATTTTTTGAAATTATATATCCACCAGAATTGGAGTATACATACAAATTAAGACCTGCTAAAGATTTTGGTGCACCTTTCGTAAGTGTATCGAATAAAATATCATTATCGATAAATATATTCTGAGTAGGCGTATTAATTTTATTCGTTATATGCACATTTTTCAGAATGCAAGCTTTTTGGAGGAAGGAATTCCTTTAGTTCCAACTGATCCTCCTCATGGTTGCCAGATAGCCAAAAATGCCAAAGAATTAAAAGGCAGAATTGCATTGGTTGAAAGAGGGGACTGTAGTTTCTTTGCTAAAAGTATAATGGCAGAAGAAGCTGGGGCAAAAGCTGTAATTATAGCAGATTACCACGCATCTTCTCTTGAAGAATCAATAATCAGTCCAATATGGACTGACCATTACTATGTAGATATGATACGCGACGATACTATCTCGCCGTCAAAGACAGTAAACATTCCCGCTGGATTTTTACTCGGTAAGAACGGCAAAATGATCCGACAAACTCTAAAACGTTTGAATCAACCGTTTGCCTTAATCAATATCCCCGTGAACTTAACTTATACTTCTTTCGATAAATTGCATCAACCACCGTGGCTGTTTTGGTGATCATTACTAGAATATTTCATTGATTTTTCAAGTGATGTGACAAATATGTTGACTCGCAAAGATTGTTATAATTCTAATGTCGTTATTAAGGAATATGATATTAAGGAGTAATTGCATAAACAATTTATTTCTCGTTATAGTGGTAAAAAATTAGGAAATGTAGATTTTTTTAGATTGTCTTCTCTTAAATTACTAGATATTTTGAGTTTCCCTCTCTAGCCACTCAAGTGCCTGAGCATTTTCTGGCCCTTGTAACAGAGGTTTCAAAGTATTCAAACATCTTGCATGATAATTATTCAAATATTCGATCTGAAACAAATTACAATTAATTATTTTCAAATAATCAAAATATCAGAAAGACAAATCGAATATATATATATATGTATATACCTCATGGTCTGTTAATAAGGAAACATTCAGTAGCTTAGTTTGTATAGGCACCAATGTAACAGTTTCAAAAGTAAGAAAACTACGATTCTTGTGATTATAGGGTGTGTTTGCCTTTACTATTAATTCTATATTTTCCAGTCTAACGCCAAACTCATCATCCTCGTAGTACCCTGGTTCTAATGATTTTACCGATTATATTAATATTACTAGTAAAATATGTAAATGCAATCAAAAGGAATTGTTTTATCATATACCATTCGAAAGAAACATGCCCGGTTGTAAACCTGGATCGTCAGGATATGGCCTCCAGGAAATACCGATAGGTCCTTCGTGAACATTCAGATACGAACCAACCCCATGTCCCGTACCGTGAAGATAATTAAGACTGTAATTGTACATTTAATATAAATAAATAGTATTTTCCATTTTATAAACAAAATGAATGTATGTACCCAACACTCCATAAATTTTCCCGAGCAAGTGTGTCGAGATAATTTCCTTGTATCATTAGAGGGAAAACAGTCGACGAAAGCCGACACTGACCCTTGAATACCCTCGTAAAACATTCACGCTCGAAAATCTTTGGTTCACCGAAGTGTAATGTCCTTGTAACATCTGTGGTACCATCTTGATACTGTGCACCAGAATCACAAAGATAAAGTTCTTTGTCTGTAATTGGTACATCGGTCTTTGGTGTTGGTAGATAATGGATTATTGCTCCATGTGGTCCAACCGAAGATATTGTAGGAAAACTGAGTCCAATGAAATGTTCCTGCTCCCTTTCGGACAATATACATTGTGACTAACCATTATTACATCCAAATTTTTTAATTTTTACGTGCAAATTCTCTTACTGCCTAAATTTTTCAAGTTGAGTCGCTCCAGATATCTCTGTGATAGTTTCCTTTTTATTCGTAATCTGATCTTCCAACCAAGCGAAATATTTTACGAGTGCGACTGAGTCACGTACATGCGCCGCTTTCATTCCTTCGATTTCAACGTTATTTTTAATCGCTTTCATGCCACTTATTGGCGTAATAGCAGTATGTTTCTTTGCTTCGTCGCAATCAGTGTGTAAAGCATAACTAGAACCATTGCTTATCCATATTTTATCATTACCTGTACATGAACTTGCAATTTGCTTCAAAAAGGTATGAATATTCTCATATGAATGGTAAGTTGCATTTATCTCTTCACTGATCAGCTGCTGCTGAGCCTTCTGGTCAAGTCTATTCTTATCAATGAATAAATGTAAATCATCTAATGTAAGAATGACATATGCAAAAAAAACAGGATTATAAGGTATATCTGATCCTCTTAAATTTAGAATATATGCTACTTCATCTAAAGCTGTTATTACAAGTGCTTTTGCTTCATTCTTCATCATTACCTTCCTGCATAATTTTACTTTTTTTCCTGCACTACATCCAGAAAACTGCATTGGTTGAGGTAAAACAACATTAGCTGTAGGAGCAGGTTGCTCATCACCCCAAACTTTGTCAATTAAATTCTCCTCAAGAGGCACTAAGCAATGACCAGCAGCAGTTAAATTTGTATGTAATACTGCCCATTCTGTGTAACTCATTAAATTAGAATCTGCACCAACAGTTGATTGAGGAGGTAAATTAGCCACCAACCATGCAGCTCTAGTTGGGGTGTCCAATAAACCTTCCCTCATCAAAGTCCATGCCTCTGGTGGAGCAAATTCTTCCATAGCTTGCATGTAATATCTTCCATCTGTCCAGAGCAAAGCTTTATTTGGTGTAATAATTGCAGTACCAAAAGAACCACTGAAATTACTTATGAAACGTATCCTCTTATCACGTTCTCTCAAATATTCTGATTGATGGGCATCATTTGAGCTTACAATCAAAGCCTGAATACCTTTTTCTGTAGTACGACCTACTTGAACATTTTCCATTAATTCTCGAAGTTTAGTTAATTTAATTGCACCACTGCTTTCTGCCATATTGATGCTTTTATTATGAGCTTTCCACTAATTTTGTGATGTACTAAAATGAAAAAAGTTACCTAATTTAAGAAATTATAAATATTCTAAGTTTATTTATTTAATTCCATACAATTAATAATAAAATTTCAATTTAACGCACTTACAAATATATGTACTGTGCAAAGCTGGAAAAACAGTCCAGCAGAACTGCACAAGAACAAGACGTATACTTCACTTGCACCGTCCGAATCTCCTGTCACGCGGTGCTATTTGATCCTATTCGTCGATGTATCGCGTCGGCCAATAATGACAATACGTGTGCCCTATTTCTACGATTGTGTTGGAGAAGGTGGGCTTATGGGGATATAACCCAATCAGACCTGCATTCCTTCCGCTGGACTTCTCTCCAGCACTACAGAGCAGCGATGCCAGAATTGTGGGTTGTGGACCCCCCACTATGACCTACGTGCGTTACGCTACGGCGTAGCGGTAGCTCTGGCCGTAGCGAAGAATGATATTCTGTAAAATATTTCATTTCAATGCGCATTTTTTATAAACAATTGAAATTACTTCTGTAAAACTCTCAAACCTCTATATGCGAAACGGCCGCTACGATTTTACGTCACGTGGTGACATAGATAATTGGCGGAAAGAACCGAACAGGCTTCGCACACGGCCAGAGCTACCGCTACGCTTGTGTGAGAGCACGAGGACGGTATAGTGGGAGACGGCGGTAGGTCATAGTGGGGGGTCCACGGCCCACAATTCTGGCATCACTGGTGAGCACTCGTTCGTGTTTCAAGCATGTGTAGGATGGTACGACTACAGAGTACTACACGCGACGCATGTTAAGCACTTTGCCTTGTATATTCTGAATTGTAATAACGTCCTGTCTTATCGCAATAAGATAACGTTATCAAACATTTTACAAAAATATCGGATAATTAAATTCCTACTCTTTATCGATAATATCAAATATAGATTTATTTTCATATACTGATATTTCAAGTTTGAGTTGTATGACGTCTTAGGTATCGACTATTGCTTTTCACAAGGTTAGAAAATAACACAATCTCAGCCACATTCAGTAAAATAGAAATAAATTTATTCAAGTAATCTGTGTCGTTTCCATAATTTTTTAAATATTATTTTTAACGTAATGACAGTTATTATTCTTATATTTTAAGATAAAACCGCATATTATCGGAATTTGTTTGGTGCGGTTATCATCGAAAGAATAATTGATGTTTGCGCTTTACAAAATAAAATTTTCTCTGTTGTCAGTATGTAATTTAACAAATAAAAGATGAAGTAATTTATTAATATTTATTACAGCATGTACTAAAATATTAAGTTACAGTTTAAATATGTATAAAAAACATGTGATCAGTATATAGTAACCAAAAATAGTGATTACTAAAGATAAAACTATATTATTTAATTGAAAAATATAATACTACAATGTAAGTACATGTATACATGTACATACAAGTGGCTGTTGCAATTTACCACAGAATCTTTATCTTTTTCAGCATGTTAAGTCTTACAAGATATTGTACCTCAACAATAACAAGAAATAGTACAATAAGACTTCTACCCATTAAAAATAATTTATACACATGTACTTCAAAACCAATACTCTCAAATACAGCTCTTACATTTGTGAAAAGAAATTCACTTTATTTGTATAAGGTACTACATATTAACATTGTACATTCAATATACAAAACAATGTTACAACTTTAAGTAATCTTATGCAATATTCTTATAGGATTTAATTAAGAAGGGTAGTGCTATAGCTTTAGGTTTTGCGTCAAAATCTGTTCAGAAATCAGATAAAGTTGTGGGCAAATGGCTGTTAACTTGCAGTGGCATGGTTTTTGTAGCTGTAATTCTAGGTATAGTTCTTTATTTACTTTTTTATTACTGTGCTTGTATTGTGATAAAAGTTGTAGTGGACAAAACTTATGGCAAATAAGCCTAACAATAGTCAAATAAATTACTAACACAATCATACTATTTATTGCTAGAATTAAGTTCTTATAAAGCATGATATTATAAATAAAGAATATTGAAAGGAATATCAGAAATTTCTTGTCCTTCCCGATATATTTAGGAGGTGTAACAAGACTTACAGAGTCTGGTTTATCAATGGTTACTTGGAAATTACTTGGTGAAAAAATGCCTAGCACTGAAAGTCAGTGGCAAATAGAATTTGAACGTTATAAGCAGTTCCCTGAATATAAAATGTAAGAGTTTGTAACATGAAATGATTCTATGATTTGAAAAGCATTTTTTCATATAAATCTGTTTGTAGCACTAATCATGATATGACATTGGAAGATTTTAAACGCATTTGGTGGATGGAGTATTTGCACAGAATGTGGGGACGTTTGATAGGTGCTGTGTTCATTGTTCCAGCAACTTATTTTTGGGCAAAGGGTATGTTAAAACCAGGAATGAAAATGAGAGTAGCTATTTTGGGCTCGTTAATTGGATTACAAGGACTTATGGGTTGGTATATGGTTAAGTCTGGTTTAGAAGATCGTTTTGTGGAACAATCAGACGTACCCCGCGTCTCGCAATATCGTTTAGCTGCGCATTTAGGGATGGCATTTATTATATATACAGGAT